AATAATAATAATAAAATCCTAATTTAAAAAAAATGTATCAGATCGCCTGGGTGGCGCAGTCAGTTAAGCATCTGACTCTTGGTTTCAGTTCAGGTCATGATCTCAGGGTCGTGAGATCAAGCTCCATGTAGGGCTCCGCACTCAGTGAACAGTCTGCTTAAGACTCTCTCTCTCTCTCTCTCCCTCTGCCCCCCACCTCAAATAAATCTTTTTAAAAAGTAAAATAAAAAATTAAAAATACATATAAAAATGTATCATAAAATAAAATTAATTCATCAACCTAAGTGACCTCACTTGCTGTAATACCTACATTGAGATTCTGTCTTTTGAAAAGGTAAGAGCAGCCTGGGCTTTTTGTACTCACTGGTCAGTGTCTCTTTAATTCTTAGAAGCTTCTGTGACTCAAATTCAGGTAACTAGTGGGATTTCACATAAACTGTAAACCGTTTAGTCCATAGACTAGCCCACTTTCAGGTAACTTGAGGTTTTAAGTTTGCTTACTTTCTAAGAATGGAATCCTTGTACCTTAGAAGTTTGCCTTTTAAAGTTAAAAAAAAAAAAATGTACCCGGGCAATTATTAGATTTCTTTGGTTCTAAACAGAATAAACCTTGATGTGGTAGTTTGAATTTATAGGGAAATAATAATTGTTCTAATGGTATTTATTTGTTGGCAAATATCCCACATTTGGACTATCCATGTCCAACTATCTTTTTTTCTCTAATTTGCTATGGTTGCAAATGAGGGCTAGAGAGAATTAGTTTATAGATGTGTTTATTATTTATTGATACACAGTTTTTATGTGGATTGTTTTAAGTTCAAATTAGCAATTTCAGATAGAATGAAGCTCTGTGCTATAATCTTTATTATTTTATGGTAATACAGATAGCTTTTAAATTCTTAGTTTTCGTAGAGGGATGACAAACGGACCGACCAAACTCATCATCTTTAGAATACAAACATGATGAATGTGTTTTTTTTAATGTATCTGAATTGAAACAATAAGTAATGCTCATAAGCTGGGGTTTTTTTTTTAATGTCTACTTTTATCATTTTTTAGTACAACACCTCAGGTATTGAGCCCCACTATCACATCTCCCCCAAACGCACTGCCTCGAAGAAGTTCACGTCTTTTTACTAGTGACAGCTCTACGACCAAGGTAATCTAAAGATTTCCATATGTCACATTTACTTAAGCTTCCCCCTCCATCTCTAATAAATAAATTGAGAGACTATTTAAATTTTTCTAATTTTTTTTAATTTATAAAGCTGTTGATAACATTTATAAATTTTCTTGGTTCTTTAATAAATATTATAAAACATTGTTCAAAGGACAAAATTCTTATGATGGGAAACAGATCAGTGGCTATTAGGAGTTAGGACTTGGGGGGAAGATATGACTACTAGAGCATAGCACAAAGGAATTTTTTTGTGTAGTGGTCAGACAGTCCTATATCCTTATTGTGGTGGTTGATTACATGAAGCATACATGTGATAAAATTTCATAGAACTATCACGTCAAAAAAAAAAGTACATGTAAAAACTGATGAAATCCAAATAAGATGTGTAATTTAGTTGATAATATTGAACCAATTCAGTCTCCTGGATTTGATGATGCCCTGTGGCTATGTCAGATATTCTCACTAGGAAAATTAGGGGAAGGATAAATTTCCTGTGTTTTCTTTGCACATTTCTTTATACAAGGACCTCATTATGCCCTTGGTAAGTTTTTGTTGGTCCATTGACAAATATTATGGATAATTTTTAACTTTGACATGAACAATTCAACAATTTTATAACTTACCAGTTATAATGCTCTGAAGACAATTAGGTAATATTGCATCCATTTATTTTCTTATTTTTAAATAATAAATGAAAGTTATACACTTTCAGAAAAGAGCAACAAAAACAATACTGATTTACCTTATATACTAGTTCATTAATACAATTTATTTTCAGAATTGTTGCATTTAAAATTAAAGGACTTTGAAATTTTTTATTATAAATTTTTTCTGAGAAAAATTTAGACCAGTCAAAACTATATATTTATTTTGTGACTAATACTTGAGAAAGGATTGGGAAGTCTATAATACATGCGTTTAACAAATGTGGAATTTTCCTCCTTTTTACAGGAGAATAGCAAAAAGTTAAAAATGAAGTTTCCACCTAAAATCCCAAACAGAAAAACTAAAAGTAAAACTAATAAAGGAGGAATAACTCAACCCAACATAAATGATAGCCTGGAAATTACAAAATTGGACTCTTCCATCATTTCAGAAGGGAAAATCTCCACAATCACACCTCAGATCCAGGCATTTAATCTACAGAAAGCAGCAGCAGGTCTGTTTTAAATGCTTAATATCTTCTTTGTATTTTATTTTATTCACTTATTTTAAGTAAGTTTTTTAATGTTCATTAAAGTACCTTCCATTTTTTCTAGATAGATGTTGGAATTTTTAATAAATTATTTTGTATTAGCCTTTCTAGAAAACCAAACTGTTTTATTGTGTTTTTCTCCTTTGTTTACTATATTGTTTTCTCCTAGAAGGTTTGATGAGCCTTCTGCGTGAAATGGGGAAAGGTTATTTAGCTTTGTGTTCATACAACTGCAAAGAAGCTATAAATATCTTGAGCCACCTACCTTCTCACCACTACAATACTGGTTGGGTACTGTGCCAAATTGGAAGGGCCTATTTTGAACTTTCAGAGTACATGCAAGTAAGTATAGAAAACTGTTTACATGCCTTTTTAGAGCTAGTTTAAATTAAAATGCCTGTGCTTGAGACAGCTAGATCTAAAAGGTCAATATTTAGGGGCACCGGGGTGGCTTGGTTAAGCATATGACTCTTGATCTCAGCTCAGGTCTTGATCTCAGGGTTGTGAGTTCAAGTCCCACCTTGGGCTCCACACTGGGTGTGCAGCTGTTTAAAATTTAAAAAAAAAAAAAGTCAATATTTATTATGTAATGTCTTTATTTTCTGAGCATTTTAATATATAAATAGACAATTTTTTCTCTTGTTTAAGGGTGAGTAGTTTAAATTTGGGGAGATTGCTTGAGATAGATTTGTAGAGAATCCAAGTCATCCATATATTTTTTATTTTTTTAAGATCTTATTTATTTATTCATGAGAGACAGAGAGAGAGAGAGAGGCAGAGCTCCCAAGGAGCTCTGGGATCATGCCCTGAGCTGAAGGCAGATGCTTAACCGACAGAGCCACCCAGCCATTGAGCCCTGGGTCGGAAATTTAAATTGGAAATTAGAATTTTCTTTGGCTTTGTGTTAATAATCTTCTCTTTTTCTGGTATAAACAGATAAGCAACGAATATAATTAAAACTAAAGGATAAAAGTCTTGAGGACATTATGTCCTCCATTACATACAGTTTTCTTCATAGTATTTTTCAAGATTATAAAACATATGAAATGCCAGAAATTCATCCCAGTAGGAACTCTGCATATAGTAGAAAATATTTTTATTATAAACACCTATTACGTGGTAATATATATTTTCAGATCCAACGGAGTAGGGTACAAATATTTCACATAAGAACATATGGATGTGGGCGCCTGGATGGCTCAGTCGGTTAAGTGTCCAACTCTTGATTTCGGCTCAGGTCATGATCTCAGGGTCTTGAGATTGAGCCCTGTGTAGGGCTCTGCACTCGGCACAGAGTCTGCCTCGGATTCCCTCTTTCTGCCCCTCCCCCTGCTTGAGCTCTCTTGCTCTAAAATAAATAAAATCTTTAAAAAAAAAAAGAATATATGTGGGCTTATATATAAGATGGTGGCTCAGATGGTTAAGCATCTGCCTTCGGCTCAGGTCATGATCCCAGGGTCCTGGGATCGAGTCCCGCGTTGGGCTCCCTGCTCAGCAGAGTCTGCTTCTCCCTCTCCCTCTGCCTTGCTGCTCTCCCTGCTTATTCTCTCTCTCTCTGTCAAATAAATAAATAAAATCTTAAAACTAATTAATTAATTTCCTACCCAGTTTAGCTTCTGAGCATTTTCTCTCCCCACCCCTAAACTTAAAAAAATTGTTTAAAACTTTAAAATATATATATATTAATAAAATTTCTCTAAAATAAATTATTTGAAGTTTATAATAAAGTTACTTTTTTGCCCTGTTTACTTTCAGTTCATTTATTCAGTGCATGTTATGTCTTAAATTCTCTTCTAGACTCTGTAATACAGCTAGACAAATAATTGCTTGCTTTTATAGAGCTTGCATTCTAGTAAGAGAGATAGATTGTAAGCCAATACGTGTATAAGGACAGGTAGCAATAGGTCATAGGAAGAAAAAAATGAAGCATGTTAAAGGAATTGCAGGACAACGATATATGGAACTATTTACCAAAAAGTATGCTCAGAGAAAGGAGGTGACTCCTTCATGAGCCATGCAAAGATCTGGGGTGAAATGTGTTCTAGGTAGAGAATAAATACAGAAGATACCAACTCATGTATTATTGTATGATAAAGAAAGAAGTGTTGCTGTAGACAGATTAGCCTTATTCATTGCTAGAAGTTCCATGTTTGGATAATGGTCCTTTACGGATACATAGGCAAAAGCTGTGTTTGGCAAGCCCCTTTCAAAATTATTTCTAATTTATTATTTCACAGGTCCTTTAAAATACATAATTTTTCTTGTTTCCCTATAATTATAGAGCAGTGTCCCAGATACTTAACTAAACAGAAGCCTTTGTTTCAACTTAATTTCATGAGTTTTTTTCATTTTTCTTTTTGTCTATGCCACAGTCACTTTTCAGAGGAAGCAATAGATCCTGAAAAATTTGAAACCAAAAGATTTCCAAAACCTATATTTGACTTGTGGTTAGGTCTGTCTTCTTATACCCAATGCCTATTGGAAAAACTTATCTATAACTTTTAAGGGATTTCAGAGAAGTTAAAAATCATTAAGCTAATCCTAGATAATATATGGCCATTTCTTGGAGTTCCTAGTTTTATAAATGCTGTTTCTTTATTTTACGCCATTTTCATTTCATTAAGAACAGTCCAAATATTTTTTATTCTAAACTAAACTTGACTTTCAGAATTTTGAACTTTTGAATGAATAAACTAGGGAACTACTGATTGGTTTTATAAAACCCAAAGCCTCGGGCACCTGGGTGGCTCAGTCGTTAAGCGTCTGCCTTTGGCTCAGGTCATGATCCCGGGGTCCTGGGATCGAGCCCCGCATGGGCTCCCTGCTCCGCGGGAGGCCTGCTTCTCCCTCTCTCTCTTCCCCTGCTTGTGTTCCCTCTCTTGCTGTGTCTCTCTCTGTCAAATAAATAAGATCTTTGAAGAAATAAAATAAAACCCAAAGCCTCAAACTTCAAGGTGAGAGAAACCATTCTGGGAGCTGTGAGTGAGGGGAGGAAAAAAGTAGCTGAGGAGGGACCCTAAAGTCAGGTTAGTGCTGCAAAGGAAAAGAGAATCACTAGGCTGGAGCTACAGTTCCCCCGCAGGTATGACATTGGCGGGTATGCTCAGTGTTCAACATGTCATAGCATTGGTAGCCAACTGAACCTGTTTTTCCCCTAAAGTTTTTAACTCAACCTCTTAATAAAAATCAGTGCATAAGTGGTTTTGTGTTACCGAAATCATTATTCTCTCGCTTTTCCTGAGTTATTCTGTAAAGCCATTATTAAAACTTGGAAATGTGTTTTTTGAGAATAAAATAATTGACTTGTCTTTTGTAAATTGTAACTTTGTATAGATTTCTCCTCTGTCATTTTGGTGGAAACGTAGGTTTTCTTTTCACATTTAATGCTCTTACCGTGACTTGTGTATACCTAGGTTAAGTGTGAATTTGATTACCTCAATATTTGACCTATTGTGGGACATTGTTCATTGGGACCCTATGTTATTACTAATTCACATAAACACTGTAAAACAAGGCAGCATTTAGGTCCCATGAGAACAGTGCCCAGTGCTCTCCCTGCATATATGTAAATTGTATCAACTTACTTTCCCATTAACTAGTTTTTTTATTTCAGGCTGAAAGAATATTCTCAGAGGTTAGAAGGATTGAGAATTACAGAGTTGAAGGCATGGAGATCTACTCTACAACACTTTGGCATCTTCAAAAAGATGTTGCTCTTTCAGTTCTTTCAAAAGACTTAACAGACATGGATAAAAATTCACCAGAGGTATGATAACTGAAACACTTTGCTTATGTAGTTGTCTTCTGATCACCCTTGCCAAGTGGGGATGAAGCAAGTAATTCAAACACCATTTAGCATCATCCACACTTTTTCACCCTTCTCTACAGGCAAAGAGGGACTCAGAGAAGAGAAAAGTCCTAGAATATGTGGTGCAGATTCATAAGCATATATTTTATTCAAGATTAATCAAGATTTGGCTGTATTAAAATTGCTGTTATTGGGGCATCTGGGTGGTGCAGTCAATTCCGCATCCAACTCTTGGTTTCAGCTCAAGTCTGATCTCAGGGTTGTGAGATCGAGCCCTGTGTCAGGCTCCGTGCTCAGTGCAGAGTCTGCTTGGATTTCTCTCTCCCTCTCCCTCTCCCCACTGCCCGCACTCACGTGTGCACGCTCTCTCTCGCTCTCACTGAAATAAATAAATCTTTAAAAAAAAAAAAAATTGCTGTTGCCAGCAGGATTAGTGTTCATTAAGCAGAAATTATGTAGATTGGAAAAAGCGCTAATTTTAAATTAAAGTAAAATAGTGGTTTTTTATTGTCATTTTAAGACATAGGCACAATTCATTTGCATGCTCCAGTCCTGTAAGAATTGTATTTCATTGCATCTCAAGATTAGTTAGTGGTACTTGTATAACATATCTAATCTTAGAATTAAATTAAAAACAGTCAATTCTCATTATTCTTGGTAGTTATGTTCAGTAGTTTTTGTAAACACTATTATTAGCAAAGACTGGATCATTTTATTTGGGAGAAATGCACACACACACACACACATCCTAAAAACAACCCATCCTGGTAGGTTTTATTATCTTTATTTTATATAAAAGAGAAAATGCTATTCAGAAGTGTTAAGGTGATTTGCCTGAGGCTACCCTACAACAGGTACCATATTTAGGATTCAGTCCTCTGTCCAACTGGCCCCAGAGCCAGAGCTTCTTGCCCTGCACTGCACTTCCCCCTACACTCTCTATCCTTTGGTCATCTCTATGTGAGAGATGAAACAAGGAGGCATAGAGTCACCTTTTTTTTTTACCTCAACTGGGACCGTGCCTGTTGGACAACTCATATGCTGGGTGACCGCTAAAGCACTCGCAAGTGTAGAGTTTGGTTTTACAAATACTATAAATTTTTACAAGTAGACAAATTCACCAATATGAAATCATGAACAATGAGGATCAACTGTATTTATTAAAACTTCAGGGGGTGCTAGGTGGCACAGTCGGTTGAGCGACTAACTCTTGGTTTCAGCTTAGGTCCTGATCTTAGGGCTCAGGGTTGTGATATCGAGCCCCCAACAGGCTCCAGGCTCAGTGCTAAGTCTGCTCCAGATTCCCTCTCCCTCTCCCTCTTCCTCCGCCCCTCCCCCATGCTCTCATGCGCTCATGCTCTCTCTCTCTCTCTCAAATAAATTTTAAAAAAAGATAACTTCAGTTTTTGTTTTTCTGTTCTAAGTGAGTTCTGAGTCTTGATTTTAGTCGTAAATTTGGTTTTGTTAGAGAAATTGAAACAAAATTTTAATTATATATTTGGTTTTTGTTTCCATCTTTTTTTAAGGCCTGGTGTGCTGCAGGGAACTGTTTCAGTTTGCAACGGGAACATGATATTGCAATTAAATTCTTCCAGAGAGCTATCCAGGTTGATCCAAATTATGCTTATGCCTATACTCTATTAGGGCATGAATTTGTATTAACTGAAGAATTAGACAAAGCATTAGCTTGTTTTCGAAATGCTATCAGAGTCAATCCAAGACATTATAATGCATGGTAAGTGCTAATGAAGTGGAAAGACAATGTCTTACTGATGGGACTGATACTCAGTAATTTTTCTTGTTAGACATCTCTTTATTGTCATGAATTTGGTTACTAATACTTAAGAATAGTACATACTGGTTGATAAGTTGTAACCAAAATGTATTTTTTTATATGAAATGTGTACTTTTAACAAACTCTTAAGTTAACTAATAATCAAATACTAGATCCTTATACTCAACAGTTTCAACTTTTCTCCTACCAAACTTTTGAAAATAATTGATTTTGTTATTTGATTTGTTTCTTTTTCTTAGAACACTGAAACAGTGATTCGTATAGAACATGGTTGGGAAAGTGGAGAGGACTAGTATAATCACCTATTGGATAGTAGAAAATAAACATTGAGAACTATCCACTAGTTGTTGCTCTTTACAATATTCTGGTTTATTAAATACCAGTCTAGTTCATTAGCTTTAATTTAGAACTCGGTGTTCCAGTTTATTAATAAGTAATGTCTCTATTGAGGTTACCTGGCTCATATAGTTAACAAATGAAGAAGGCATTAAAGGGGCACCTGGGTGGCTCAGTTGTTAAGCGTCTGCCTTTGGCTCAGGTCATGATCCCAGGATCCTGGGATCGAGCCCCGCATCGGGCTCCCTGCTTGGCGGGAAGCCTGCTTCTCCCTCTCCCTCTCCCACTCCCCCACTCCCCCTGCTTGTGTTCCTGCTCTCACTCTCCCTCTCTCTGTCAAATAAATAAATAAAATCTTTAAAAAAAAAAAAAGGTATTAAAAAGTTTGTTCTTATTTCTGCCTCAACACTGTATCTACTGCTGACATTTTATTGTATTTTTCTTGACTGAGTTTATAGTTTTACATATCAAGAAGTGTAATTCTGATATCATAACTCTGCTACAGTTTTTATGTCAGACATGGTTTTCTTTTTATCTTTTGAGGTAGTCATTATAGCAGTTGAATTTTCATTCTGTCACTAAATCTGAATCACTATATTATTAAAACATATTTTTTTGATCTGTGTATATATGTTTTTTAATGGATTATATCTCGTTTCTAAGTAGTTACATTACCTAAAAGATGGCCTGACAAATGCTGACTTCTGCTGACATATTAAACAGTCAAGCTTGCTGATACTGCCTTCTCTTCACATAAAGTACCCTGTAATATTTTAAGAACTCAGTTCTCAATAGGACTTGTGTTGTTTTTTAAACGTTTGGGTATGTCCTATATTATAATAGTTGCATTCTTAAAAAACCTTACCATATCAAAATTGTTATAAAAATAAGGAATTTAGGTAACTTTAAGTATCTAACTTAAAGTATCTAAACTTAAAATTTATTATTCCAACTCCAGAGTAAATAGTCTTTCTTTTGATGTTCCACCATCACCATTATTAGCACAGAGCTTTTTATACCTTTTCTTCACCCCAAATATAAGAAGATATATTGTGCTTTCTTCTTATACATTCATTTGGTGTTTATTCCCCATTGTCATTATCTAGTTATAGCCAAAAGAGGTTTCCTTAATGTAAATCAGTCACATTATGTTCATTTGATGTTTTGAAAATTCAGAAGAAATACTTGTATATCAAGTTAACATGCTCTTACATAGCCTTTAAAATTTATAATTTTGGGGGTGCCTGGGTGGCTCAGTCGTTAAGCGTCTGCCTTCGGCTCAGGTCATGATCCCAGGGTCCTGGGATCAAGCCCCGCATCGGGCTCCCTGC